GGAGCAGCGAGCCGTCGAAGACGAAGAGTCGTCGATTATCGACTACCAACGGGGGCATGACGACAACTATGAGTTGCCAAACAATTTTCCAAAGCAAGAAACGGCACTCCTCTAGCTGCTAAGCCTAAACCCCGGCACCAGCACGAAGCCAAAGAAACAGGCTAAGCAGCAGAAGACACAGCAACAGGAGCAACAACCACAGACCAACGGCGACCCCCATGCTAACCACGTCTCTACTGCTGCTTCCTCCACTACCGGCGCAGATGCAGACGACGACATGTCACCAATCAATTCTCCCCGCGTCAAGCCCGCCGGTGATGTCACTGACATGCTCGAGGATCCTGCTCCCGCCGCATCCGTCCTCCGCCTGACTGGTGATATGGAAGATGTCCAGAACGGCAAGAAGAAGAAACAGCAAAACAGCTTCAAGTCCGTAGAGACTAAGAAGCAACGTCAGGCCCGCCGTAAGCGCGAAGAGAAGAACGAGATGGTCAAGCAAGCAGAGAAGGCGAGGCGTGCAATGGTCGAGAACCAGATGCATACAGCCCGAGAATACGAAAGGCAACAGGCAAAGTCAACGGTGTCTCCGTCATCTGCAAACGCATGGGCATCCAGATCTAATCTTACGCCTACTACCAATGGCAACACTTCCAGCAACGGTACATCCACCAAGCCGCCATCTGCCATGCCATTGCTTGACACCTTCGAGCCAGCTCCTGCACAACCCACTCCTACACAAGCTGGCGGGGAGAGGAAGCCGTGGACCAAGGACCTGCCATCAGAAGAGGAGCAGATGAGAATGCTCAACTCTCTAAGCAGCGAGAACGAATGGACTACCGTTTCCAACCGCAAGAAGGAGAAGCGCAGTAAGGGCATGGCGGAGTCCACGAGCGAAGCCAGCAGCTCAGAGGCCCATGCCAACCCCATTGAGACTTCGTGGTAACTAACGACATGACCTTCTTTTCCCAAGTACTTCTACGGAGTACTCCGTACCGCTACTACTATTTCTTTCTTTCCTTTCTTTTTCTCCTTCACAAAACTCATATCACGAAACCACAGCATAAAGAGAGAGGCCTCTTAACCCCGTTTTACACCCCCAGTCACACATCCATCCACCCGCACATCCCTACATACATCCACTAAGCACATTCCATATGTCCTTCTCTACCAGCATCCACATTTTATTATTATAGGTCTCTTTTCTCTCCTCGCGTCTCCCCCTTTTTATTCACCCGCTAGTTCATGGTGTTCTTCTTGTCAACAGCGGATGTCAAATCATCCATCTAGCCTCTTTCAATCCCCATCCAATTTCATCTCCCTTTTCCTTTTCCCCTCTTCTTCTGCCTCTGCCTCTTCTTCAGCTTCGATCCTTTTCAACGCCTTTCTTTCTCGCTTCGACTGTATTTATTTATTGATTTTCCTGCTTGTTTTCTTTTTTGCTTAAACCCCCTTTTTGCTTTTTCCTCCCGAGTCAACCAACTCTCACCAAACTAGCCGCCGCCGTGCTTATCACACATCTCAACTCGCATGTCGATGCTCTTCTTTTCCTTAATTTTGGCTTCGTCCTGCATCAGCCAGACTACTTGAGACCTTTTTTTCTCAACCCCCCCCCCCCCCCCCCCCTTTTTTTTAATAATCCTTTTCCCACTCCTATGCTGGTGCTTATGCCAGGAAAGCTCGTTTACCCTTGGGCACACCTCGCTTCTTGTATGTCTTAGTAACAGTTCCGTAGTGAATCATCTGCCTCTACTTCGTCTCCTCTCCTCTTATCTCCTGCTGCCGTCTTCTTCTCTCTGTATCAATATCCTCTTCCCATTCCTTCATACATGCCCCGTCTGCTTCTCTGCTTTTGCTGCTCCAGGTTTTGATGCAAGTCCCGTGACTTGGCGAAACGTGACCTTTACTGCTTATCGCATCCGTGGCTTTTTCTCTTCAACCTTCATTCAACCGTCAACTTTCACCTGCAAGAAACACCAAGACAAGCCTCGAGTTCGTCCTCTGCGCAGCTTTGCCTTCACCTCCTCCGCCGCGACGTCTGGCCCCAATTGACCGTCTGCCCGGCTGCCCTCGAGTTGTGAGACAGCGTCCCTCGCATCACTAGAGGGATTTAAAGTGTTTGTTTGTCCGCCACTCGAAACCCACCGTCATTGTTCAGGCCAATGCTAACCAGCCGAGGGAGAACAAGGGTCCTGCTTCTTGTCCACAACCCACCCGGCGAGGACACATATACACTATCTGGGGAGCAGAAGTCTCGAGCCAGCAGGCAACCTCAACTGCACGCCGCCGTCGATCCCTCCGAGGCCACATATCTGTACCTGCCTGCCTACCAGCATCCCTCGTTATCAGACACTCACGCACACCCAAAATACCTCTTTAACTACCATACCTATCTCTTCAAAGATGGCCCAAATCCGCGGCACGGCGGGGTACAACCTGGGACATCAGAATCCCTTTGTCGGCCCTGGGAGGGAGCATGCTACCAGCGACCCGAGCCCGTTGGATGCCATCCGGGAGCAGACCAGCAAAATTGAGGATTGGTTAGACACTGTTGCTGATCCAATCAAGCCGTATGTCCATTCCGGTTCTCCGCGTGTCATGAAGAAATAGTTTAGTGCACTTACATGACCTGTTTAAACTTACGAATACTGATAGACACCTCCCGGCAATCGGTCGATTCCTCATTGTGGTCACTTTCTTGGAAGACTCGCTGCGGATAATGACACAATGGACGCCTCAGCTCGAGTACCTCAATCAGTTCAGACACAGTACGTGAAAGGCCGAAGTGAAGAGAAACAACGATCTCGGCACTTTGAAATTGGTGATAAAATGGTTCTAACCTATCATGCTAGTTCCATGGGGAATAACACACCTCTTCCTTATTGTCAACGTCGTCGTCATGCTTTGCTGCTCCGTCCTCGTCATTGCTCGCAAACACAGTGAATATGCTGTTGCCGGCCTCCTCGGTGTTGTGGTCGCTCAGGCTCTCGGCTACGGTCTTCTAATTGACATAACCTTCATTGTCCGCAATCTCAGTGTCATCGGTGGTCTCCTCATGGTCCTTTCTGACTCCTGGGTGCGCAAGAAGTTCATGCCCGCTGGTCTTCCACAGCTCGAGGAGAAGGACCGCAAGATGTACGTTCAGTTTGCTGGCAGGGTCCTGCTCATCTTTTTGTTCATTGGATTCGTCTTTTCTGGCGAATGGAGCTTGTGGCGAATCATTGTCAGCTGCATTGGTCTCGTTGCCTCTGTCATGGTTGTTGTTGGATTCAAAGCAAAATGGAGTGCTGTCATCTTGGTCGTTGTCCTCAGTGTGTTCAACGTCCTTGTCAACAACTTCTGGACGGTGCGTATCCATATTTCTTACCCCGTATTAGGTTCCACCGCGCTAACTGGGCTTTCAATAGCTCCACCCCCACCACCCTCACAAGGACTTTGCCAAATATGACTTCTTCCAAATTCTCTCCATCGTGTAAGTGTTTATGTATGTTGATATCTAGTCCAATTTCATACTAATCTTTACCTAGCGGCGGCTTGGTCCTCCTTGTCAACATGGGCCCTGGACAGCTCAGCATGGACGAGAAGAAAAAGGTTTACTGAACATGTTGCTCGTCTATAAATAAAACAATACCCCCAACATCCACCCAGGCACGGAAAAGGTGAAAAGCAAAATATTCGAGGAACATATCATGCCAGTGCAAAAGACGCCTTACTTTCTTACCATCCGTCGACTCCTATGGCCAATTGCGAGCCATTCCAATATATCTTTACCCCTACCCTTTGTCTTTTTGCCGTGTCATGTCATGTACTCCACGTCCTGCCGGTCTGCTTGTGACCTTTTTTTCAATGCGCAATTTCAGCACTGCGCCACAGCCCAATATCCACATCCACTTGTCGTTTCCAGTTTCTACTACATTCCATTCCAGTTCCTATTCCAATCTACTTCAGTTGGGAAAGTCAAGAGGGTCGCATTCATATATATATCTACGTCATGATCTATTAAAAAAAAAATGAATGAGCTGTACCATTTTGCCTATCTCTACAGTTTATTATTGTCATCTCCTATTTTGTCTTTTGTGTAAACGTGTTCGGGTTGGCTCATCCTTTGCTTGTCATCCATTTTCCCTCCATGCGCTCATTACTGCCTACTTACTAATAGCGCTTCTTGCTAGAAGCGAAGGATTAAAAACGGTAGACAACGGTGAATTACCTTCTGCTAGGGCCTTTTATCTGTTTAAATAGAGAGTTTTTGATTGACATCCATTGAATAAAAGCACCTATGAACCAACCGCCAACATTTAGTCGAGATGGAGAAAAATAACACCTTTATTGTAGCAAAAAGGGATTCGGCAGAAACAAAATAAATATTATAAGTCGAATAGGCCAGCGAATGGAAAGCCGACTAGCCAACTAAGAGAAGAAACCAGCCTGCTCGCATGCTCGAGGAAAACCTAGAAATTTTCAAGAGGGAAAAAAAGGCGGAGTTAAACGAATGCGCGAAGGAAATGAAATATGCAGACGTACGAACGAATAAAGACAGACCATGCTGTGGAAGTTTCATGCAGTAAGATATAGAAGGGCCAATCCGGCCAGGGGGGGTGGTATGGTATAGCCAAGCTGATGCATTGCGTATACTGGCGATATGCCGTGTATGGGAAAAAGGCGAGGGAAGGGCAAATACAGCGGATATAAAAATCAAAGCGTCGGGTTAGAGAAGGGATGAAGAATATATACAAGAAACACCCATTTTTTCTAACTCTTTTATGTTTGCTTTTCTTTTAAGGAAGGAGGAAGGTAGAGACTGGTTAAAAGTCCATGCTCCATCTGTATGTTCGGATACGATCTACTCGATCAAACTCGACATCATCAAGAGTGTGGTCCGAATCATGATTATCATCGTTAGCCAGCTGTACGGTGCTGGTGAACGGTAACTTTGACGTCTTTGAACGGCTTGCGGCACGAAGCCAATGGGCGTTGTTAGAGGAAGGCGTGATAGGCCGGAAAGCCTTGCCGCTGTCAACGGTTTCTTTGGATGTTGGTCGGTGTTCTGTTTCATATTTGCGGTGCTGGCGGGTCCTCGGGGGTTGGAGACTGGGGAGTGATACATACGGTTTTAGTTCTAGTGGAGAAGCAGTACTGGAGTCGTTGGATGGAGAGAGGGTGAGCTGTTGTTGTTGCTGCTGTTGTTGGTGATGATGACGGTCCAACGATTGTCTGCGAACTGTAGTAGAGAGACAAGGGGGGGAAGAACGCTGCTGGTCCTGTGACTGGGCAGTGTTTGAGAGAGAGATCAAGGAGTCGATGGGTATTAAGTCGCGGGATATAGTCGCTCCCGTCGAGGACTTGCGTGATTTTGTAGTAGGGCTATGCCTGAGCGAAGCTGATTCGGGACTTTGGACGGGAGATGGCCGAGAGAGAAGATGTTGATGTCTATGTGTGTCAATACCAGTATTACTCGGCGACTGTGTAATACCCCTGAGAAGCGGGCTACTGCTTGCCGAGAACCTCGAGGTAGGGTCTGCTCGGATCTTGCCCTCCATAACCTTCGCACTCGGCGGTGGTTGAAGCATCCATTGAATCTCTTCTTTCCTCATCAACGCATTTGCAATTGGTGGATAGACGTCATGAACTTCTGGTGGTGGATCGAGGGAGTATTTTGAAGAGCCACGAGTTGCAACCCGTAAACTCGTAGACGAAGCCCTTCCTTCGCACCCCCAAAGCACTTCGTCGTCCCGTTGATACCGTACACTATTCCACCGAGTAGCCAGATCGCTTCCCATATCGTTCTTCCTGCCATTACTGCTGCTGTCCTTTGCTATGGGCAAGTCCTCCAGTACTCCGGTCAGCACTGCTTTCTCCGTCACAGTGGGCTTCTCCTTTTCAAGTGCAGCCAGGTTCTTCTGGCTCCCCGTCCGACTGGTAGCATTGTGATTGTTATTGTTCCTCCCACGTCTCGCTGGCGGCCCAGGTCCTAGAGCAATCTCCTCGCTCCAGTATCTGTTTGTGCTGAACGGCGTTGGCTGGTAGAAGACAGGCTGGTCGGTAACGAGGGCATCCCTGCCGGCCTCACGTGCGGTCCGCGCTGCGTCTCTCTTCCTCTTCCGTTTCTGGAGATGCTCTGTACAAGGAGTACAGGCTGCGTAGTAGAAGATCGCAGACTGGGCCCCCCGAAACAGCCACATCACCCTGTCGTGAAAGGTTGGTCAAATTGCTCGACCTCAGCTCAGCTCAGGGCTTCGCCAGGAAGGCAAGTCTGAGCAACACGCAAGAATCTCTTGAAAAAATCTGCACATTTGAGCTGAGAATAGGGGGCCGCTTGTTGATGAGGCGAGGCGTCTCGAGTCGTGGATAATGGCTTGATAAGAGGAGAGGGCGGGTTGGTTTAATTGAACTTGAAACTTAAGGCGCTACTACTGGTGGTGAAACCTGCGCGGAAGAGATGGGGCGATTGAAGCGCTCAGCAGAGAGTTAGCAGAGTGAAGATATAATAGTTGAAACACGGACAGTCTTCGGCCAGCGAATTGTGTGTATCGTCCCCTTGTCGACAATGGGGAAGAAGAAAAGAGCCAGACACAGACTGGTGAGATGGAGCCCGGAGTATATAAGATAACACGAAATGTGTCCAGGAGAAGAGAAAAGACAGGGCGCACTGGCCTCCCTGTGGCTGCCCAACCGGGCCACGGGGTGCCAAGCTCGCCAAGGCCTAGGAAGTGGCGCCGCGGCCCCACTATATCCACAGTGTCCCCTTTTGGTCTAGCGTCGCGTAGGGTGATCCAATCATGTGGGGACTTTCTTTGACGTGCGCCAAGCGCGCTTCTGGGGTTTTGGTCACTCAAAGTACCGCCCGGTAGACGAGATGAATACGGGGACATATACGCGGCCAGACACAAGATGGGGGGAACAGATAACACGCATAAACGGTGCTGATAAGTCGAACGTTCCAACGGCGGGGTTTATCTAGGAAGAGATGGCCTTCTTCAATTTGAATTTGATGTACGTATGTCGAGCAAGTCGTTATCGATCACTGCTCTAACCTGCCTGACCGTTTTGATGCACACTCGGCTGTCATCCTACATACTGTCGTCCACGTAAGTCCGTCACCAGATTACGCGTGTTTTGTGCGAGCTGAGGCCTGTGCACGATGCCGGCTGGTGACGAGGCTGACAGCTACTTAAATGACTTAGCCTAGCCTCAGAGATGTAAATGCACAGCTGATGGACTAACAAAATAGTGGTTAGCTAAATACTGAGTTAAGGAGAGTCCCAAAAAGTATATATCTCGATTGCCTCCCGTTGCCTTTTTATGGGTAACGAGCCCGCGATCCCCTGAGACTCGGACAAGAGAGGTCACCTCTATATTTTGGTTAAGGACTCAACATAGCAGAAACCAGGGTCGTCTCTCGCCTGGTCCTATATATATGTTCTTCGTGGAGTATATATAGAGTGAGATACCACTTACTAGTGGTGGCCGGGCTGCCAGTATGGCAGGCGATGGTCTGCTGCTGTAGTGTATGATAACGAGGAGAGACGAAGGGACGAAGATGAAAAAAAGGAGGAAGAGTTATATATATATTACCCTTCGGCAACTATATATAGGAAGTTGCTCCTTCCTTCTCTCATAGTTTACAGTAATGGTGAATCGGGAAGGTACGTATCTAGACGCGCAAAGTAAGAGCGCCAACCGCTCGCTCCTTCTTCCTTTACAAAAGATACGCCCAACTCTAACCCTCTCTTCTCCTTATAGATACTAGTTGAAAGGACTTCAACAACAGCAGTGAAGTTCACAGCTATTATATATGCGCTCCTTCTACATGCTTCAAACAAAGATATACTTCTTGGTACTTCGGGGTACCTCCCTCACAACGTGCTTTAAGCAAGGGCAAGAAATCAAAACGCTAAAAAAGAAGAATTCCGTCAAAGTTATGGGACCATCTAACAACTTGACATATCAAACAGTCGTAACTCTCCACATGTAGCGACGCCGTGGTCTCAACGTCTGCATGCCCACATCACGCATCTCGAACGGTGATCCCTCCCGACTCTCTCTATGCATCCCATGAGAAGACGGGTAGATCGAGAAAAGCTTCTTTCATGAACTTTTGCTTAAGCCGTTCTAGCCAAACATCGCGCCCTCTTCTTGCATGTTCGTTCCTCGGCGACCCGACAGGCTGATGCAGAGGGCTGTTGGCTGCTGTTGACTTGCACCCTCGGCTTGACATGTCTACTCTCATATGACTAGGATGCAAACCGTATTTTGCTTAAGCCAGGACTGACCAGTCGCTGTTGGGGACCTGACCACTGTAGCATTGAACGTACAGAACGCCCTGAGGGTTACTTAGATGCCGTGCTTATGACTCTATATTGATAGCCAAAGCTCGACGCACAAGCTACACACAAACCGACACACTGGGCTTTCGGGCAGTGTAACCATGAACAATTTGGCGAGCCATGGCTATGATTTTCATCGATGTATTGAAGTTTGGCCGTCGATATATTGGTCGACATACTGTTTTCCGGAAGAATATTGTTTACTCGTCATGCGTCATGATTTCATGCCACAGAAAGTGATAGGCCTTGCGTGATGCAGTCATATAGCAAATATAAACCTCAACAGGGATGGTGTTTTCAAAAAGAATTTTGCAGGTGAACAATTCCACCTCCCTCGGATAAATCAAAACCGGGAGTTCGCATGGGTCGGGTGCAAGTATCAGGAAAATAAACAAGTTCAATAAAGCAAACCATCTGGTACATTTGACGCATTGCTGTTCGTAAGTTAGAGATGAAATCAAAAAGGAACAGGGTAAACATGACTATATTTCTACATAAAATGTCCTGAACTCCATCTCATTGCAGACGCTGGATATCTCACATAACATCTTCCGAGATTATTTCGACGTGATTAGAATGCTGCGAGCCCTAGTCAAATGGCGATAGACAGTCCCCTAGACTTGTCCCCTCTATCCAATACTTGGATACAATCCAAGCTCATTCAAATTGGATATGGAATGAGAAAGCTGCCTTAATCTCTGTCCCCGTCTTCTGGGCAAAAGCACCACGCCACGGGTAAACTGATGGAACAACGGCTCTAAATAGGGTATCATTATCAACTCAACAGTTGCCTCGCCGTTGTGCTGCTATTCTAATCTTTTAACACCGCCGAATGCTAGCCTTGGCTCGCTCCTCGACTCGTCGTTTTATAAAATAACCCATCAAGCATTCTTAGTATTCCTAACAACCTCTCCCTTGACCTTTGACCAGTCTATTTTACCGTCAATCTCCTCGTCGACCTCTCCACAAATAACAACGTTATCCCCTCGTATCAGGTAAAGACCGTGCTCTACCTCGGTGCTAGGCTCAGGGTCATCCGGCGTTCGGATTATTCTCTCAACTGTTTGAGATAGGACGAGGTTTGTAAGTTGGTCTGTTGATAGAAGCGTTCCTAATAATGTGCGGCCGTCAACCGTGAGGACGAGAATTTTTTCTATACGGGAAAACACATTGGGTTAGTTTGTTGTTCGAGAAAGTAGGCGGGTTTGGTTTGTAAGAGAGTGTCAACGAACTGTTGATGTAGGATTGGAGGGACATAGCTATGGTTCCTCACGGCTGATCTATAGTTTCTCTGAAAGGAAATCCCACAATTGCTGAAAGCCCTTCTGATATCTTCGGCTCCGTGTTCAGAGGCCGAGCAAGTCTCGGTTTTGATGCGCGTGATGAGAGAGGAAAGCGAGTACGCTCAGCTTTTCACTTCAAAATGGTCGCGCAGTTGCAACTGTATTCATCAAAAGTCTCGAGTAAAGTAACGATGTAGGGTTCAAAGATTGATCTTACGAGAAGTTTGGCCTATACACGAGTATTTCACATCTCGCGGTGCTCTTTCAACGCCTCGATTTATTTGCTGAGTCAGCACTGACAGATCCGTTACTATGAACGATCTATAAGAGACATGAGAGAAGAAACATAACACGGCAAATACTGATCAACAGTAGTTAGATGGAGCTAAGACTGGGTAAAGAGAAAGCATAATAACACTGTCCCGCCAGTCCACGCATCCCATGCAGTATATATGCTACAATTTGCTCCTAGACCCAAAATATATCAAAGATGAACATGAAACTGGGGGGAGAAGAAGAAAGGAAACAGAATAGTCCATCAGCAGTCTCATTTCATGACAAAGACGTTAGGTCTAAGGGTACGCTGCTACCTCTGCCGGCCCTGTACATCTTTTGGCCGCCTATGAATTCTCTCGGCTTGGGGAACAGCGATTCGTTCTGAAATTTAAACCGGGGGTCTTCGATCCTGATCCTACCATGGGACGAGCTCTTTTGAGCACCAGGTCGATGAGAGCCACCGTTAGTGAGGGTATAATTGCTTGGGTCAAGCATAGAGCGTACGGGAGGTTGGTGATGTGGTGCAGTGTGTTGATTATCTGAAAAGGAAGAGGGGCGAGAAGAGAGTGGTGTTGATACGAGGGAGGATGTTCGTGCTGATGAAGGAGGTGAAGTTGGTGGAGGTGGTGGTTGAGCCGCAGGAGCTGATGGTGGAGGAGGCGGAGGCGGCGCTGCCGGGGACCCGTATGCATTGCGCGCAGCCTGCATTGCTATCGACGATGCCTGTAGCCCGTTCGCGCCTGAGGAACCTGAAGGAGGTACAGGGGGCGGCCTGGGTGCTGCTGATGGCGGAGGTGGTGGTGCTACAGGTGGCGGAGGAGTGGGAGATGTTGATGGAGGTGGGGGAGGAGGAGCGGCAGGCGCAGAAACCTTTCTCGAGGAGGGAGGAGCGGGAGGAGGC